ATTTTTGTTATTTTCTCGCCTGGTCCATTATACTCCTGCTATGAGTGAAACCATCCGGTATTTTTCTTTCTCTTTCTGGCTTATCTCACTAAGCCCACACCCCCATTTTTGATCCCATTCCTCACTCCACCCCCATCAAAATGTCTCTGGTATATAGCTATTCATTGTTATTATTATTTTCTTGCCTGGTCCTTTATGCTGCTGCTATGAGTGAAACCATCCAGTATTTTTCTTTTTTGTTTTTCTGGCTTACTTCACTAAACATGATCCCTTTCAGCTCCATCCATGTTGCTGCAAAAGGCATGGGTTTGTCTTTTTGACTGCTGAGTAATATTCCTTTGTGTATATGTACCACATCTTTTTAATCCGGTCATCTACTTGTGGGCATTTAGTTTGATTCCATATCTTTCCTACTATAAATAAAGTAGCAATAAGCATGGGGGTGCAGGTGTCTTTTTTGTGTCTTTGGTGTTTCGATGGTTTTAAGGCAAACCCTCACAGTTCCCCTGCTTCAGCTGTCCTGGGAAGATTTGCTTCCCCAGCTGGCCACCCTTTGGAGTCCCCTTTCTCGGTCAGGCCTCTCTAGCTGCATGGGACCCCACTTGTCTGTCTTCACAGACTCCCACTCGCTAGGAGTCCATCTCTCCACCCCCGGGGCTTCCCCACGTTGTTCCCAACAGCAGGGGCAAAAAGCGACTTGGCAAAATGGCTCACACAAGGGTCTACTCTTCAACCCTCTGGAAGAGCTCTCTTAAGAAGCTGCTACCATCCGCACTGTGGGACCTGATAGGGCTGTGGAAGGACACCTTAGGGTGATTGTGTTGGGTAGGTGGGCCTCTTGGAGCCCAAAAGAAGGCTGGCTTTTGGGCTGGCCAAAAGTAACATGCAAAGGGCAGATACAAACTCATTTAGTCCTCATAAGCTTCTAAGTCAGAGCTAGGGGTCACTCCCATTAGATAGACAGAAACTGAATCACAGAAAGGCTGAAAAACTCATCCTAGGTCACCCAGGTAATAAATGAAAAATACGGCCTCCCATCTAGATAAGGCTGGCTCTGGAGTCCATGTTCCGAGCCTCTCTGCTCTGACAGATCAGCTGTCAATAATGGTGAGAGATAAGAGGCTGCTGTCGCTGGCTCTGTGTCTCTTTAGTTCTCCCAATCACTCCAACATGTGGCTTGGTGAGCACGGGACACCTGCCCCTCGTTACACACAGCCCATCAGAGGCAGAATCGATATTCATTCTTATTGCTCAACTCCAAGTCCTCTCTCCACTCGCCCTGTATTGTCAGACCACCCTGTCCTGCCATGGACCTGGGACGAGGGTTTGCTGCCTGGCAAAGCTGGTTTTCCCTCACTTCCAAAGTCTTCATTTGTGGCCAGCCTGGGGGGGGGGGGACTACGAACCACCCACACATGAATGCCTTGCCTACAACTGCCCCTGGTCTCAGTTCTTCCCTGGAATGCCTTAGACATTCCACTTAGCCCCTTCTTGTTCCTTTCCTATCCCCTAAGAGACAGCCTGTGATCCCAGGACAAAAATTTAAAACTGAACTGCCTGCTGGTTATTCCTAAAACTATGTATGATTCCAACCCACATGCCCAAAAGTAGATGACTGGATTAAAAAGATGTGGTACATATGCACAAATGGAATATTACTTAGCAATCAAAAAGATAAACTCATGCCTTTTGCAGCCACATGGATGGAGCTGGATCATGCTTAGTGAAATAAACCAGAAAGAAAAAAGAAAAATACTGGATGGTTTCACTCATAACAGGAGCATAAAGGACCAGGGAAAAAATAATAATAATGAACAACTTATGGGAGTGGAGTGGGGAATGGGATAAAAATGGGGTGGGGGAGTGCACGGGACTATGGTGATGATGCATGGGTGATTTGGTAATGGAAGTCCATTACTAAATCCATTACCAAGTCCATTACCATTTTCCATCTCTGCTGAGATGGAAAATAAAATAAAAACTACATATGATTCTAATACCTTTGCGACTATAGGTATTATTTCTTCTTTGTCATTAATGATAGAAACAGCATTTTAAAAAGTGAATTCATATGCCTTTTCTCATCTAACTCTTCTAATAGTCTCCAAAAAATAAAATTTCTGGTAAAAGTTTATGATTTGGCTGTTACTCATTATTCCTGATCCTTTATTCCTTTGGGGGACACTTTCCCCATTCTCAGTGTACCATGTTTTAGTTGGATCTGACCTTGCCCTGGGAGGTGTGATCACACAACCCAACCTGGTCAGAAATACCCATTCTCCTAACTCCTATGATTGGTTCCGAGTTGGACACGTGACCCAAACGGGACCAATGAAACTCAATCCTTGGAACTACTGGAGATTCTACTGTTTGATGAACTTTTTGTAGAGATGCTCTTTCTACCACAGGGAGAATGAAGGACACCACTGTAAAGCAAAGCTTAGTGGTGAAGCTGTCCTGGATCCAGCCATGCCTGAAGTCACCATGATCTAACCCCACACTTTTCAATTTCACAAGCTAATAAATACTCCTTTTGGTCTAAATTCTTTGGTAGGCATAGTCTGTCACTTCTGAAAGAGTTCTAGAATTCATTCAAGGTTATTATCTCCATTGGAGATTGAAAAAACCAAATGCAGTTAAGTGACTTGTCCAAGGTCACTTGAATATTGCATGACAGAGTGGGGCCGGAACCCAAGTCACGAAGGTCAGTGATACCTACTGTCCTCCAAGCAGACAGGTGGCCTGGATGTTGTTAGTCAGTGCTATCCCAGAGAAGCAAGTGCCATCATTTAGGATAGATGTCCCAGTGACAGGGTCACGCAGAGCCTCAGGAAAATGCTTCAGCAGTTCCAGAGAACCATTATCAAGAGCCTCTCTCTGAAGCTAGGCATACCCAGAGCGACCAGGCTCTGGCGCTTGCCCTTTCAAGACATCAGTGGCACAGAACAATCACAGAGCAGAGTGCTGCCTTCTTCAGGAAGGCAGAAACCATGGTCCTTTTCCCCAGGTGCAGCCCCAATCTGGGACAGCTGGGCCAGTGCCAGCTTCCCTGGCTTGGCTGAGGGGCTAGTTTTCCATTTCAATAACTATCTTTAATCACTGTCATGAACTGAAAACCAGTGTCACTTGTCAAACATAAATTCTGACTCCCAAAGATAAATACAAGGGAACTAGAAATGGTGTTGTCAAAGTTGATGTGCCACCTCCCTGGTGGCACAGTGGGTTAAGGACCAGCACTAGGAGGCTATCAGCAGCCATTGCAGCATGAGTTCGATCCCTGGCCAGGGAGGTGACCCACATGGCACAGCAGACCTCTCCTGTCTTGCTCACTGCGCCCCTCAGCAGTGTGTCTCACCTCCTATCCGGGCACCTCTGGTCTGTGCCCTAGTTCTTGTATGCATAATAAACAAAATCTTTAAAATACAAAAACAGAAACAGTGGAGCTTGGTTCTTTGTCAGTTCCAGAGGCTCAGAGAGGCCCGTGCCACCACCTGCCCTTGACGTGCTAGCCGCTGCTTGCTGTGACCACGTAGAAGCAGGTCCCCTCTGGCCGACAGCACAAATGCAGTCTCAAGCTTCAGAGGCAGACTGATGTAAGCCTGGAACGTGTGTGTGCAGGCAGCCGTGGTGGGATCTGTGGCGAGCACTGTTTGTGGCCACAGCTTGAAGGCAGTCACGCCTGAGCAGGCCTGTCACCCAGACAGGAAAAGGGACTCGGCAATAAAGAAGCCACACTGAGTGAGCGAGACTTGGTTAAATCATTCATTCATTCATTCAACATTTATTAAGCGCCTATTGTGTGCCAGGCACCGTGCTAGGCACAGAAATACATAGATGCATAAGATACAGTCCATGCCCTGAAAGGTTCACAGTCTAGAAGGGGAGACAAACATGTAAACAAGTAAAATACATTGTGGGTGTGTAAGTGCCATGGGAGAAGCATTTACAAAGAGCAGAGGTAGCCTGGAAGGGGTGGGGCATGGGGGTGGTCTTCCTGGAGGAGGGGGGACCTATGAGGGAGATGGAGAGAGATGAAAAGGTGTTTGCCAGGCAAACAAGGCAGGAGGAGCGGGGGAAAGGCATTCCAGTCTGAAGAGACAGCGTGAGCGAAGGCACAGAGGCAGGGAACTGCATGTCTCGCGGGTGGGGACTAACTATTCTGGCCGTATTGCTAGAGTTGGTACCAGAGGCTATGGCTGGAGAGAGGGGCAGAGGCCGATGAGGGGAGACTGAGGGCAGGGCATCTCAGAGGCTCACCAGAGTGAGCAGAGCCTGAGGAAGGGCCTGGACGCAGAGAGAAAGTTCTGGGCTGGGCCCAGTTCTGCTGCTCGTGGAGGCTCTAGAGGGACCTGGACCGGCGGTCCGGGGAGAAACTGAGCTGAGGGTCTGCGCAGAGGGGAAGGGCCGGCGGGGTCCTGGGAGCTCCGGCTCACTCGGCTCTCTTTGCTTTTGGACTTCTGAGTTCTGTGCTCAGCTTCGAGGACCCCGTACCCCAGGTGGGATGGAGCCAGGGAGCACATGAGAAATGGCACGGGGGTGTTCTTGGCAAACTGCGAAGGGCTAGTTGAAGGTCTATTGATTAAAAGAGGGAAGGGGTGAGGAAAAAGAGGAGCTGGAGGAAGGCAGAGGTTCCTAAGAACAAGGACCAGATGAGGACACCCGCAGTGGCCATGACCGGCGGTGGCACTCTCTCCTCTGGGAAGAAGGGGCCCTTTAGGCCCAGGGCAGGGGCAGAGGCCAGCCAGCAAGCCCAGGCCAGCTGTGCAGGGAGCAGTGGGACCTACATGGCTGTCACAGTCCCTCTCTGGTGTCTCCTCAGCCCGGGGTCTGGCTTTCCTTGGCAACCAGGGCCCCGCCTCCCCCAGGCTGCAGGGGAGCCATTCAGCAGAGACATCTGACAGCCAGACAAGCAGCCCTGTCACCCTTCTTAGAAATGGCGCTAGAGGAAAAGTGCCTTCGTGGGGGCAGGGCAGGGAGGCTTGGGAGGAGGGGCAGCATCCCTGTCGCCCCTCAGACTGGTCACTCTTCCATGGGGCCACGCCGCAGGCCACTTTCAGGGACTGAGCTTCTTTCCCAACTCTGATGGGAGGAGGGGGAAGATGGACTCAAACTTCTTCACGGCTCCTGCCACCCTGGATGACGGGGCTGCAGTGGCAGCAGGAACCTCCCAGCCAGCGGCTCCATGTCCTCTGTGCCCTGGCAGAGGAGTCTCTGCCAGCTGCATCTGGAGCGGGCACGGTCCCTCCTCTCCTCTCGCCCTTGGTAACTCAGTCTCGCTCCCGGCGTCTCCGCGCCTTCCTCCAGCTCCCTTCCTCTCGGTCTCTCGGTGTCCTCCCTCTGTCCCCCACCAGCATGGGGGACTAAAGCCCACCATGGGCGCTGATGGAAGTGGGGGTGGCAGCAGTGAGAAGGATGGGGTGATGAGGGTGACGGCAGCCTCCCCACCGTGGAGGTGGGCCGGGGTAGGGTGGGGGGGTCACTTGCTCTTGTGCAGATCCTTCAGACGGCGAAGCTTCTCCAGGAGCTGGGCCCTGGAGTAGTCGTCGTCCCCCGTGGGACCTGGGCCTGGCCCCAGGGCCTCCTGCAGCACCAGGCAGTGGGTCCTCAGGAACGGGTTGTAGGACCGCTCCTCTCCCAGGGTGGATGGGCACTAGGGCAAGGAGACACCCAGGCTTGGTGGACAATCTAGAAATTGGGCTTGGCAAAGAAAGCCTTCCTATGCCCAGCATCCGCGGCGCTGGCGCCAGGGCCCAGAAGTTGTCACTGAAGGCCCAGGTCCCAAAGATGCCAGGGCTGGGGAGGGGCTGCAGTCCCAGCTCAGCAGACATGGGTCCTCACGGGACACGCCGGCAGCCCCTCCGGGTCCCCAAGGCTCACCGTGCTCCTGCGCTCCATTCGCTGCCTCTGCACCCACTGCATCTTCCGCTCCCGGGCCAGGTTCTCCGGCTCCACCACCCCCGCGAAGCCCAGGTTCTCCTCCGCGTATTCGTGACCTAAGGACAGCGTGCGGCAGACATGCAGGAAATGCAAGGCAGAGTGGTGATGTGGTCGGAAAGTCCTCTCTAACCCCCGCGTTGCAGCAGAGGCAGGACAGGAAAGGAGGGTCCAAGCACACGGAGCACACGTTCTGCAAAAGTATATGGGCAGGGCCTCCCTGGTGGCGCAACAGGTTAAAGCGCAGCACGGAGAAGCTAAAAGCCACTTCAGCGTGAGTTCGATCCCTGCCCTGGAGGTGACCTGATGGCCCGGCAGACCTCTCCTGACCCACCCGCTGCTCCCCTCAGCAGTGTGCTTCGTTGGTTGGCCTGTTCTGCTCCCCGCTCTGTCTCTGGTGAAGCCTCTCACCGCCCCTGTAACTCTGACTTGTACCCCAGTTCTGTATGAATAAATAAATCAATCTTAAAAAAAAAAAAAAAAGTATATAGGCAGGGCCTCCCTCATGTCACAACAGGTTAAAGTGCGGCACTGTGGAGCTCTGTGCAGCCTCTGCAGTACGAGTTCGATCCCCGGCCAGGGAGCTGACCCACACGGCCCAGCAGACCTCTCCTGTCTCACCTGCTGCTGTCCTCAGCAGTGTACTTCAGTTTATCTGCCTGTTCTGCTCCCCACTCTTGTCTCTGGTAAATCCTCTCCCTCTTCCCCCCGCACCTCTGGCCTATACCCTAGTTCTTGTATGAATAAATAAATAAATCTTAGGGAAAAAAAGTAGATAGCCAGCCCTGAAGGAAGACGCTGCAGCAGTGCAGGGGAAAGCACCAGCCTGGAGCCAGGAGACCTGTCCTGTAGCCCCGCAACTCTGCTCAGCCCGGCAACTCAAGTCATGGCACCTCTCTGAGCTCCCACTTCCTTATGTGTGTGTGGATAAAACAGTAATACAGCTGTGTGCCCAGCGCCTTGAACTGAGCCGGCTGACCTGGGCGCTCAACAAAACATTTGTTGACCTCAGTTTGTTCCTCCGGTCATCCATCCTCATGAATGAGCAGGTGGAAATCTGTTCTGACGATTAACTGAGACGTCAATGAATGTTCTGGAAACACGGACGTACACAGTCCAAATGCGTGAACAGACGCGTGATGTCCGTCCCCATGGGGGGAGGACGCGCAGCCCACACTGGACAGCGCAGAGGGGCTCTGCTGACTCCCTACTGTTCTGGGCTCAGGATATGAAGAACCAGCCGTGGCTCTGGGATGCAGGGCTGGGGGCTGGCTGGCGGGGGAGTTGGCGTGAGAAGCTGAGGTGTCACGGAGCCAGGACAGCAGGTCCTCAAATAATGTCCCTCCGGTCAATGTATTTTATTATAGTTGATGAAAAAAAATTGCTGTCCGCTGGGGTCATTCCCATTGCAGTTGGTGGCTTCTCCCATGGCTGCGTGCATTTCCCCTGCATCCCAAAGGTGTGTGCGTTAGGGGACCTGGCGTCTGAGTTGTCCCAGCCTGCGGTGTGTGTGTGTGTGTGTGTGTGTGTGTGTGTGTGTGTGTGACAGAAGGGCTGGCCGCTGCTGGGGGAGACTCCAGCCCCCTGCTATTCTGAACTGGAATAAGTGGATTGGAAAGTGCATGAATGAATGAATGAACACCAACGATTATTTATTACTAGAATTGGTTTTGGGTTTTGTGGCCAGAAATATGCTGTTGGAGCTTCACTCTTGTTGATCGCAATTAGCCTGTGGTCTGGGTGGTGCCACTCTGTCATTTTGCCTGAAACCCCAGTGTCCAAGGACCTGTGAAGCTGCTATCCGTGTAGGCTTACTGTGCTCCCAAGAGGGAGCTCTGCCCGGGGCTGGAGTTGGCGCCCAACAGCCACCAGAGGTGGCGATGTCACCTCTGGGAGAGCGACCAGTTTGGGGCTCTCTGGGGGAGGGAGGGGTGGCGGGCGGAGAGGGAGGGGCACTCACCAGGCCACAGCAGAGTGTCATCACCCAGCCCCAGCACGGTGTCCAGCGAGCTCAGCATGGTCTCTGCGGTGCCTTCAAAGGTCCGTCCTGGTGGCAATCAGGGGGCAAGCTATAAGGTACAAGGCTAACACAGCAAAACGGAAGGGCCGGGACCGTGAACCCCCTGGCTTCCCACTGGGACCTGGGCCCAGTTATTCAGCCCCATCAAGCCTGTGAGGGCTTCACTGCACACTTTGACAGGTGAATGGGGAGGGTGCCAAGCCTTCAGGCCGTGCTCTCATGGCCCCACACATGGGGGGCTACGTAGGGCTGCTCTTTACAGCCAGCACTTCTTCCGTGGCCTGTGCTGTCTTCTCGCTCAGGAGGTCTCCTCTTGTGTCAGGGGCTGAGGCTTCACCCCACGGAAACAAGCCCCCCACCAGGTCTGCACTCAGTCATAGTAGCCTCTCATTCTGGCCCTCTGGGTGGGAAGCACGAGAGTATAAAAACTTGGGGGTTCCAGAGGAGGGAGTAACTGCTAAGGTATCAGCTGTACTGTACCCGATTTCTCGGCACCGTGCCTGGGGGTTACAGATGTCCTTGGCCTCCCTGCCTCCCAGGTCCCTCCTCCCCTTTAGAGAAAACTCACCACAGCCAGAGAGGAAGAGCAGGTCCCCTGAGAAGAGGCAGGAAGGGCCCTTGTAGGGCTCCCCATCCAGTAGGTAGACCAGATGGCCTTGCGTGTGGCCAGGGGTGGCCAGGGCCCGGATCTGCAGCCGCCCCACACTGACCACATCTTGATGACACAGGGGACTGAGGAGCAAGGCAAGAGGGGAGAGAAGGTGCTAGCTGACGTCCTGCTGACTCTCGCCCCACCGAAGCCCCAGGGGCAGGGCGATTCAAGGAGGCCAGGCTTCCACCAGCAAGAGAAGGCACCCCCAGTCACCAGAGAGAGAAGACACCCCCAGTGTCCGGGGCGTCAGATCCAAACCTCCCTCTTCCTGTTTTGGGGACCACTGCTGGATCAGTTGAGGGGTGAGCAGCCTTTAGGTGGATTGTGATCTAGGAGCTAGGCAGGGCATCAGCAAAGGTCTAACTGCTGATGCCCCTGAAATGCTCACCTGAAGGGTGAGAGAGGAAGGGGCCCCCTGGATGCCATCCCACCCTCCGGTCAGGGACTCACTGGGTGAGGTGGGGGATGCCATCCTGAGGGCTCCCATACACCCGGCAGTCCTGGTGCCGCCGGCTGAGGTCACGGTTCCCTCCACTGTGGTCCCTGGAGGATAGCAGAGCGGGGTGCTTTGAGGGACCCCGGGCTCCTCACCTCGCTCTCCGCCCTAGCACTGCAGGTCTCTGGCCCCGGGGCCCCTGGTTGCTGTTCACGTTGCCCCCTCCCCGGGTGCCATTCCTGCTCCCCCATCACCTGGCCCTCGCCCACTGGTCTTTCTGGACTCTCAGCTCCAGGATCCCAGCCTCGAACTTCTTGAATGGGTCAGATCACACTGACCGCGGCCCGTACTCCTGTGCCCTAAGCCAACCATCACTGAGATCACGTGGCCCTTCTACGCCCCAATCAGGGCTGCCGCCTTGCTGGACGTCAGCTCCTCGGGAAGGAACTTGCAAGGCTGGGCAGTGAGCACATGCCTGTGGGATGAAGGCCTGTCCTGTCCTCTGGGGCTTCTGGAGCACAGCAGAGGGCGGGAGAGCCCACTCTTCCTAATTTAGCACCCTGAGGATTGATGAGGAAGGCACGAGCCTGCCCGTCCTGACTTCCTGATCCCAGCCCACCTGTCCTTATGGAACCAGACCCCGACAAGTCCAGCCAGGGCAAGCGCTGGCCGGGGAAGGCCGCCTGGACCCAGACCTCTCCCCACCCTCTTACCAGTGCTTGTGGGTGCAGAGAATGGCAACCAAGTTAACGCCTTCCTTTTCAATGGAAGCCTGGGGGAGAAAGGAGGTGGTGAGACAGAGGAAGTGGGGAGACCGAGGAGCAGGAAGCAGAGAGGAACAGGGCTGGACCCAGAGGAGAGGAGAGCAGGGAGAGGCAGGGAGAGAGTGAGAAGGGGTGACAGGGGAGAGGAGACAAGCCATGGGACAGGTCTAGGAGGGTGGGGAGGGGAGAGGGAGACGCCTGGAGGGGGCAGACAGACAGATACAGAGAGAAATAAGAAATGGAAAGGAAGATGGAGAGAACAGATCTGACAGACAGGGGAGGCGAGAAGAGGCTGAGAAAAGAAGAGGCGAGAACAAGACAGGAAACTCACACAACCACCGTCCTGGTAACTGCGCCCCTGCACCTCAGCCCGGCTCTGCTCCCCCTCACTTCCACTGTGCGATCCCCACATGCTGGCGGCTGACCCTCCCCATGCAGTGTCTGTGGGGATGGCGTCTGCGTGTCAGTGCACTTGGAGGGGGGCACCCCGCGGGAGAGGGACCAAGGTTGGGGCTCTCTAGCAAGGGGAAGTTGCCCGCCCCCAAGATGACCCCAGTCCTCTGTCCCCCGGCCTGCCCTCACCTGCACGGCCTGGGGGTCTGAAGGGTCCACTGCCACAGCCAGCCGGGCCTGGGTGTCGATGATGAGGTAGCTGTAGTTGTCTGACAGGACCGGGATGGGAAGCACCTTCACCCCTGGGGACAGAGACAGGCTGAGGGGGAAGGCAGGGAGTCCCGGCTCGGCTAGGGGGATGTGACGGGGAGAGGCGGGGAGGGGCGTAGGCCCAGGGGTAGTGCCTCACCAGGGACAGCGGGAGCTCACCGTTGAAGAGGCGGGGCTGGGTTCTGGAATGGCCTTTGGGGTAGCGATTCCGAGCCCTGCGTAGCTGCTGGCGGTAGAAGAGGTACCCGAGCCAGGTGCGGGTGTACAGGCTGTACCTGTGGGGGGAGTCCGTGCTCAGCCCCGCCCCTGGGGCCCAAGACCCTCTGTGATGCCCAGGCCTTACATCCCCGCGTGGCCACTCCACTATCACTTTCTGAGTGCCCACTGCTTGTCCCGCTCAGGACTCGGGACAAGGCAGGGACGGCACAGACACTCCCAAGCTCACAGCCCGTCAGGGAGACGTGAATTGAGGCGTTCAATCGGAGGGTGACTCCAGCCTCCCTGACCAGTGAAGGGCCTGCTGGAGGTAGGAAGCAGACACGAGGTAGAAAGAACATTCCAGGAAGAGCAGGTATCCCTGCTTGCCAGGGACTTGCCAGAGACAGGATTCCTCGGGCCCGGCCCAGCCTCAGGTCTCGGCTGGGCTCGGGGAATTGGCATTTGTAACAAACTCCAGGTGGTGCAGATACTACTGGCCCAGAGACCATAGCTTTGAGAACCACTGGGGCAGAGGAAGTGACAGCAAAGGTCTGGAGTGAACAGACAGCTGAGCTTGCTTGGGCAACTAGAAAGTTCTGTTCGGCTATTAACTGGAGGAAGCAGGGAGAGGCGAATGACCGCACACTCCCCTCTCTGCCTGCCACCATTCTGGGCCATGCCAGGCTACAACGGAGACTGAAGGGGTTTTTGCGTGGCAGAGACTGCCAAATACCAGCCTGCAGACCAGCGTCACAGGTGTGGCACCTGTGGTGACTAGGTGACGAGGGCCCCACGCTGAGTTTAGTGCTCTGCGGTTGCCATCTTGAATTTTTTCAGTTTCGCCTTTGAACTTGTGTCCTAGAAACAAAGTGTGATGGGAGAATGGACCATATGGATGAGCAGAAGGGACACACCACACGCAAATGCCTCCCACATACCGTGTGTGCAATACCTGTGAGCACAAAAGTTTGGCTGACCCACTGTGCATGGGAATTTAACAAGATTCAAGGTAGCTCAAAGTGAGGGTGCACCCCCCCACTAAGAAAGGGGCACTGATGGGCTGAGAGGTGACCTTTTGAGTTTAAGCCAGAATTTGTTCTAAGCACAGGAAAGCCATGGTGTTCTAAGAAACACAACTGACCGAGAAAAGCTACCGGGATCTTTCTAACTCACCTGCCTTCCCCTTGGTCCAGTCATTTATGCTGCAAGTGTTGCTAAAGAAGACAAAAGGACCTGGTTTCCCTCCCTTCCTTACTCATCAGGGAGCTGAGGTGGCCAGAACGTGCGTGAACTGAGAAGTGGATAGCCAACAGAAAGGGTGAGTCAGCTTCATGCATTTTGCCGCTGTTCTGGTAAGAACAAAATAAATGTCCACGTACAAGCCAAGGAATATGAAGGTTTCAGTGATTCTTCATTTAAGTGCAATGTTCTAATATTGACATTTAAAACTGGCATTGCACGTATAAAAATGAGTGGCAAACTTCATGCTAATCATTTAAAGTTTTTTTTTTTCTTTTTTACATAGAACCCCTAGTGGTGCAGAGGTTAAAGTCTCAGACTATCAACCTATCACCAGACACTGCAGTGTGATTTTGATCCCTGGCCAGGAAGGTGACCCCCATGGCACAACAGACCTCTCCTGTCTTGCCCACTGCTCCCCTCAGCGGTGTATTGCAGTAGGTCCACCTGTTCTGCTCTTGTGAATCCTCACACGGCCTCCACCCTGCACTTCTGGCCTACACCCCAGGCATGAAATAGCAAACTAAAAACATCAGGAAGAGTAAGAAGAAAAAGGGTGGAAAGAAAATTTTGTATTTTCCTATCTCTAAGGGTAACTTCATGCATGCTTTTTGAACTAGAGGGTCCAGGTTTAAGTTACTCCCGGCCCTATAAACTGTGCAGCCCCCTGCATCCGGGAAGGGGCTGTGGCTCAAAGGAGACCTGAGACTGGGGTGGGAGTGACAGCAGTCAGGGCTTACGGCCAAACAGCAATTCAGCGTGGGAATCAGAGGGATTCTGGATGGCTAGGTCAGACTTTTCTTGACATGTTGGTGGGCGTAGGGACGTGGCAGGTGATGAACCTTAAAATGGTTCATTTCAGCTGTGTGCAGCTGCAGGGGGTGGGTTATACATGGCTGACAGTTCTTCAGGACACTTTTTGCAAACAATTTGATCAAAACCAAGCATATTTCCGTCACAGTTGGCAGAAATAACCAATGACTGAGTTAAGGTTTCATCTTGGCAATCCCTGCTCTCTGGCAGCTTCACCTGCAACCCCCGGGGATTTGGACACACCAGGGAGGTGTCATGCTGCCCCTCAGGTGTCTGTGCCCACTTTCCACAGGCCCGCTTTCTCTTTTAATTTTAAATCAGTTTCAGTCCCTTCAGACTGTCATCATTTGACAATATTTAGTGAGGCTTTGCGACCTGCCGGCTCTGACAGCAAAGGCAGCAAGGCAGAATCACAGCCCTCCTGCGGCTTACATTCTGAAGAGAGCAGGTCATGTGAGAATCTGGGAATGCTCACCAAGAATAGACCAAAGTGCGAAAGCCAGAAGATGGGGGGTGGGGAGGAGAGGGGAGCAGCAGCTGATCCCCTGCTCCACTGCTGTGATAACAAGGAGCCGTCACAGGCGCCCAGCCAGAGGGACCTGGGTAGGGCAATCTAAACACCCTACACGGCCTCCACACCAGGGGAGGCCCCTTGGGGTGACAGCTGGTGACATGTGAATCCGGTCTACAGGGTAGTATGTGGTTGATGCTAATTTCTTGGTTTTGATAACAATGCTGTAGTTGTAAAAAGATGCTAATATTTGGCGGGATCTGGTCGAGCTAATAAGGGGATTCAGATTTTTCAAATCTGAAATTATTTCAAAACAGAAGGTTAGCAAAGAACATGCAACAGGGAAAGGAAAAATCTCTCAATAAATAGTGCTGGAAAAACTGGGCAGCTGCAAAAGAATGAAACTAGACCACTCTTAAAATCATATACAAAGATGAATTCAAAATAAAGACTTGAGTGTTAGAACCCAAATCATAAAACACATAGAAAAAAACCACAGTAAAATCCTTGACACGCCCGAGTGATGTGTGTGTTGATTCGACTCAAACAGCAAGAGTAACAGAAGCAGAAATAAATGAGATGACACTGAGCTTCTGCACAGCAAGAGAAACCATCACTGAAACAAAAACTACTGAATGGGACAAGATGTTTGTAAATCATACATCTCATAAGAGGTTAATACCCAAAATATTAAGAAACTTACACGCCTCAGCAACAAAACAAACAAGCTAAAGGAAAAATGGGCGGAGGATCTGAACAGACATTTCACAAGAGAAGACCTGCGGATGGCCCACGGCACAGAAAAAGATGTTTATCATCTCTTATCATCAGGGAAATGCAAATCAAAGCCACAAAGAGCTATCACCTCACACCTGTGAGAAGGACTATTATTAAAAACACAAGTGTTGGCCCTCCCTGGTGGCGCAGCGGGTTAAAGCACAGCACTGAGAAGCTGAAGCCACTTCCGCATGAGTT